TACCTCAAACTTATGCAAATGAAATCAAATATGACAATTAAATTCTCAAACTGCTACTTCATTTAAACTCGAAAAAATTGACAATAAAAATGTGCATGGCCCATGCAGGCGGGAAGCAATGTTAAAGTTCATAACAAAAATTCCTCAATAAAAGGAAAAAAAAACTAATAATAATATAACAAATTTTCTTCTTACTATAGAGAGAGCTTTTATTTTATTTCGAAATAAAATAAATATTTTATAAAATAAAAATAAATAAATGGAGCGACATACATAGCATAGGATTGTTACGCCTCGAACGTTAAACTCATACATCATTAGGATTATTATTTAGCAAATGTATTTAAACGAAGAGATTAATCACTTAATTGAATTTCGCTGTTTGGGCAAAGGCTGGAAACGCGGTGATTGTTTTCCATGCCTTAGGTTTCCAGCCTCAGTTCTCCCATTTCTGGACGATTCCAGGTATTTTCTTTTTAATTTTTTTAGAAAATTTGTTTGATCAAAACCCCACATTTTGTCATTAATTTTCTTTTTTCCCCCTTCTTCCCCCTTCAGAATTTGCATTTTCCAGATATCATTTCGTTATCTTTAATTCCTCAATCCAAGTTTGTTGGGTTCTTATTGAATTTCGATTCAACATTGCATTTTGTTGATACCCTTTCGTTTTGAATTTCTAATACAGGTTATGATAGCAGTCAATAATAGTTTTTAGCTTGGTTTGATTTGGAGGTTAACTTAAAAGTTATGAAACCAGGATTGTTGTTCATAGGTTGGTGATTGGATTTTGGGGGTACCCATTTGTTTTAAAGCTTTTCTTTCCCTTCTGGACATTGAAGTCCAGCTTTTTATGACTTGGAAGGGAAATAAAGCAGAAGGATTTTGAGAAATTCTTAGGTAATATTTGAAATCATATATACAACAATGAGCTTCATCTCCAGAGCCATTTCGAGGCATGTCATGCCTGCATGTTGTAACCTATGTTTCCTTTGCCCTGGACTGAGTACAAGGTCCAGGCAGCCTGTTAAGAGGTATAAGAAGATGATCGCCGATATATTTCCTCGTAAACAGGTTTGTATTTTCAAGTTTTCTGCAAATTCAAACATTTTGTAATCCTAGTAATATGTGGCTCTACATATTTTTAACTTTTGAAGATGTACTCAAGGGTCAGTTAAGTTAGCTCATGCTTTATGTGTAGGGTTTGATGTATTTTCCTCATATTTAAATTCATTTGTATATGTGACTTTGTAAAGCAGCCGGATGGGTGGCCACTGACTGATTAGTTAGAGCTAATTTAATTCAAACGTTAAATAAGGTTTAGCTCTGCAAAAACTTAGTGTTAATGATTCTCTAACTTTATTGTGGATGAAATTAACATCTTTAACATTTACTTCTCTTTTGTTGTAATTTCCTTTCTTCTGCTTTATTAATCATATAATTTAATCTATTTTTCTTTTTATAGGAGGAAGGACCAAATGAACGCAATATAGGAAAACTATGCGAATATGCCGCAAAAAAATCCTTTGCGCATTCCGAAGGTACAATATTTTACAAGTGTCAGGATAATGCTTTTGATGTAACTGATGGCATTCTTGAAATCTATTGTTCTTATAGTTGTGCATGCTTTTGTTGTTGACATAAGAGATCCTTTAAATTATAATACTTATGAATAAAAATGCATGTTGATATCTGGTTATGACAAATGCCTGCACTTTGCACTTTTTAAAAATGAAATTTAGTACTCATGGAGAACATAAAGTTCAAATAGATAATGATGAGTTTTTTTAGAGCTCGATGACAAAAGTTACAAGTTTTAGATAAATACTTTTTTAGCTTTTATTTGGTTTTATGGTTTAAGAACCTGAACTATTCTCTTTGCCACTGGATCCAAGTTTTCTTCCTGTCACGCTGTGTGATAAAATACCTAACAAAGCATTTTGAAAAGCAAAAAATTATGTTGATTAGGAAGTCATTTTTAGCTGCTTTTGCTGTGATATTTGTTCTGGGAATGCTTATCTCTACTGATTAGAAATGAAGAATTTTTACTGCAACATGCACAATTTCGAGCTAATGAATCATGTTAATCATTCTTATTTCTAATTCTTCCAAATTTTATGACCAGATCACTAGTCTTCTCGAGCAAAGGTGTTACAAGGAGTTGAGAAATGAGAAGTTTAATTCAGTCAAAATTGTTATGTGTATTTACAGGAAACTGCTGTTCTCTTGTAAGGAGCAAATGTGAGTTATACCTTTATCAGATCTTTTGCTTCATGAGATCTTTTGATTCTCTCTGTTGTCCTTAATGGCTAATTATGGAATCTAAATTTGGAGATAGGGAATGGACCATTGTGATTTATGACTAAAATGTTTTCTAAGCTTACTAGATATTTTAGTTGATTGCAAGTTATATGTCATTGCAAGATATTTTTCTATGGTATGATCTATAGAGATTATACTCTTCGACTGAAACTTGTTTTTTTTTTGGGTTCAAAGTTAACTGGAACTTGCTATACCTTTATGGATTCTTCTCTTGAATTTTCTAATTAATTTGTTGTATTAATTATATCAGTAAATGTAAGTGATCTGATCTCTTGATCAATGTTTGGATCATTAAAAGGAAATTAGAATTCAGATAGTCCACAATGCTAGTTCAGAAAGATGAATTTTAAAGAGGAAATTTGACTTAATTTACAATATAAAATGTGATAATCAAATTCACACTTTACGCACAAATTAGTTAACCTTCAGTATGCCTATATATTTGAAAGTATACAAAGATGAAATTTTGAATTTACAGCTATGAACTACCTATTCTTATAAAAAAAAGCTATGAACTACCTATAGATATTTCAATCAATAAAGGTATCTAAATAATCCATGAATTTGAAAATAATCACGAAGGAAATATTTATGTATTCTTTATACACAATTTATACAAAATTTGACATCCTGATTCTTTTAAATTCAAGTTACAAAATGCAACGTAAATCTTAAGTTTTCTTATCAATCATGCTTGACCTTTCACCAAAAGATATAAAATATCCATATTGTAGTTTCAAAGTGTAATATATCAATATAATAACCGATAATTTTATTATGCTTTTACTTGTAGTTTTTCCCTGAACTCATTTGATTTCTGGTTATCAATTATTTCATAGGTCATTATTTTCTAGTAGCTTATTGGACATTATACAGACTCTGTTGGAACAAACACGGCATGATGAGATGCAAATTATAGGATGTCAGACACTTTTTGACTTTTTAAATCATCAGGTTGGTGCTTTCGGCATTTCTTGTATGCTTCTCATGTTGAATGGATTTCTATCTTGCAGTGCATTTATTTCAAAAGTTAGTATGTTTATGGCTACAGGCTTCAAACTCATTTTATCTTGTGAAATTTTCCAGGAGGATGGTACTTGCATGTTTAAGTTAGAAAGCTTTATTCCAAAACTATGTCAATTAGCTCAAGAAGCTGGAGAAAGTGAAAGGGAAAGAAATCTATGTGCAGCAGGGCTGCAAGCACTTTCTTCAATGGTATACATTCTAACGGCTTCTCTTCTTTTAAGATGCATGATCTTAACTTTTTGTTGGGTTTTCTGGTAAATAGATGAGAAAAATAAACCTTTAGTCATATAATAAGTACTAACAATTATATTATTTCTGGGAAACTAAACCAGAAGAAACTAATATGCACCATGTATAATGAAGGAAGAAGAAGGTAAATCAGAGTTATGTAGTATCTTACTATGAATGAGCTTTGGTGTAGTGATGTTGAAGTATAGCATTTCCTTATTTTTCCAAAATTTATGATGTAGGACTTTGCGAGATTAGGTTTTTAGTAAGGCTAACTTATTAGAATGGTGGAAATGGAATTCCTTTTCCAATAATCAAAATTTAGTGTTAGTTTGTCTTTCTAATTACATATTAGCATGTGAGGCCGGGTTGTTTTAGTGAGCCTAACTTCTTAGAATTATGTAAAGTTAAATTTCATTTAAGAGTTAGTGTTATAACTTATAAGTTATAACATTCTTTCATACTACTTATTAGAACTCCTAATAGTAGTCAATTGAAGTAGACACCACGTTTGATATTGTTTATTTATTTATCCTACCTTATTTTGCCCCAGCCCATTAGTTTGTCTTTGCCTTAAAATGGTCTCAAAGTTTGAGGATTTCGTTTTTCCAGTTGGAGTGCTTAGAAAAGTAGGAAAAGAGGACAATGAATACAACCTTGAATACGCTTTGATACCTTCATGTTGGTCTAACCTTGCCTTAGCTGGAATGTAGATGGTTTTTTTTTTGATAGAAGTTGGAGGTCTCATTAAAAACTCCCTTCGTATTCGTTCACATACTAAAAGTATATTAACGAACATTGGAAGGAAGAAAAGAGTACCTCAAATTTTATTGATAATATTACCCGATACAAAAGACACCACGGAGTAACCTCACATGGTGATGTACACCATTACAACAAAGACCTTAACTTCAAATGACCTCATCCAAAGCCACAGTCTAATCACCTTACTCCTAATTACACCATCAACAGTAGGAATAAACCATCGCAACAGAACATGATACAAATTAAAAGCAACACCTACAACCGTAAAGACTAAAACAAAACCACAATTGAAGAGACAAGATCAATGAGACTCGTCTTCTTCAGGAGCCCAAGAGTTTGGTTTGAATGAAGGCTCTATCTCATGCACCATGACCTTGAAGAAGTTGTCACCAACCTTCAATTCCACCAACGCATCAATTCTCGAATCAGCCTTTGTGAGGACTTGAATTTTTGCCCAATCAAAGGTTGACGGAGAATGACAACTTTCGTCGATATCTAGTAATAAACCCCACTTCTCAGCAATGTTCTTGAAAGTATCCCAATTCCATGCGTGAAAAGGAACACCCTCGCAAACTAACCATACTCGACGACACTCCATTACCAAACTTTCTGACCAAGCTTCGACTATAGAGAACCACTCTGCGAGAATCTTTGATTTATCGTTCTCCACACTTCTCAATGAAACATTGTCTTTGAAAATCATTAAAATCGCATTACCAGCAGCTCTCATTAAGGTGAAGCTAGTGAGGCCCTTCGCTTGCATTTGTCTAGCGAGATGACCAATTTTGACAAAGTCCTTGCACCACCCCACTAGACAATTGCTCAACACCTGAAAATGTAGATGGTTATGATATGTGGCATGGGAACTTAAACGAAGTCTGGTGGTATTAGGTCTTTTCACTTGATAATTGTATATTGGTCAAGACATTTGTTGCATATCAAATTGGTTGTGTGCTCAAGGTTACTTATGGATCAAGCCTCATCACTAGTTGAAGCTCATTATGGATCTTATTTCCAATTCATTTTGAATCCTGCACATGAGGTCACATTTAAACCCGTAATTGAAGTGATACAAACTCACATAAATGTTCTCCCATAGTTCAAAGCCAGGAACCCTTGTGAGCACATCATAATGTGCCAAAAAGAAATCTATGATTTTAGATAAAAGTGGTTAAACGAGCACAAATAAGGCTAGGCTTTTACCAACTCCAGTTCAATTTTTTTTTTTTGATAGGAATTGTAGGCCTCATTAAAAACCCCCTTCTTGATTAAGGAACTTATAATGAGTTCCTTCATCAGAGGAAGGAGGAAAAGAGTGCCTTAAACTTCATTAATGATAATACCTAAGATTACAACAAGAAGAAGCCCCTTACAACAATTTGAAAAAACCCAAAATAAAATACCCCTAAGATACACTGGAATTAGCCAATGGCAGATTTAGCCATCCCATCAGCCTCAATATTGGCTGCCCTAGCAACCCATCTAATAACACCCTCAACTTCTTTTAGCTTGATAGTTATGTTCCTTACAAGACTGACAAAAATCTGAGGGCAGAAAGTTCCATTCTTAACCCAATCCACGGCCAATTTGCAGTCTGATTCTAACAATAAACGACCATTAATACCTCCTTTCACTGAATCAAAGAAAATTAAGCCCTTCTGAATAGCCCTTAGCTCCATCATAATAGGTGGACCTGGACCCGTGGCCTCCTTAAAAGATCCTAGAATAAGACCTTCCTCATCTCTTAGAATACCCGCAACTCCACTGCTGTTCCAATCCGAATTTGTAGCAGCATCCACATTCAATTTTACAAAGCCCTTAGGAGGGGGGGACCAAGGAACTGTAGTAACCATCGATTTGTTGAGAGGGAAGCATGAATCCCCAAGAGACGGGTCCCCGATTAGAGAATCCATTGAAATACCAGAATCTGCAAACTTAGCTGAGAACCAAGATGCAAGTCGTACTCTTGCTAAGAAAAATAGATTAAGATGGTCAAACTTCCCTCTATCAAAAACAATATCATTTCTTACCTTCCAAACAGTCCAAATAACAACGGCAGGAATGAACTTCCAAATGGCAGACCTAGGATTAAGATCTTCCCAAGCTTGAAGAAACTTCTGCGCATTTGTATGAAAAACCACAAAAGACTCCAATACTGCACAAATTTGTTCCAAAGTGACCACACAACTGAACACGAGAAAAATAAGTGAGAAGAAGATTCAACCTCCAAATTACATAAAGGACAAGAAGGATCTGTTATACCCGTAACCCCTCTCTTAACCAGTTCAGACCTCACTGGCAGTTTTTGAAGAACTACCTGCCACATGAATACCTCAACTCTTGGTGGCACCAGACCTTTCCACACAAATTTCTTCCAAACATAATCCTCCTTCTGAGCCAAAGAACAAGTCTTCACACATGAATTAGCAGAATAGACACCAATTCCGTTTCCTTTCCAAATCAGACCATCGATTGCCTCTTTAGACAGATAAAAATTAGAAATGATAGCCATCAGGTTAGCCCACAGTTCAAATTCCCAATCGGCTAAGCTTCTCCTCAACTGAATATTCCAGATCCATCCCAAAGAGCTGAACTCGCCAAATTCAATCAGTTTTCCAAGCTGGTTTGTAGAGATTGCGAACAACCTCGGAAAAGAAACCTTAAGAGGACAGTCCATTGCCCATTTGTCCTGCCAAAACTGAATAAATTGACCATTCCCAACTTCTAGTCTGAACATGCTGCGAAAATAGCAACCAAAAGAGTCTTCTTTAAAATAAGAATTCACCACCGAGCTCCAAATCCAAGAAGCTTGAGCTGGGATTTTGCGATTGAACAATAAAGAAAAAGGATCAATATTGTATTTTGAACAGATCATTCTCCTCCAAACAGCATCCTTGTCATTTGCAAATCTCCAAGACCATTTCCCCAATAGTGCCCTGTTCATATTGCTAATATTTAACACTCCTAAACCACCAGCCTCCTTTGGCTTACACACGTTAAGCCAACTAACCCAATGAATCTTATTTTTCTCCGCTCCTCCTCCCCATAAGAACTTAGACATGATTGAGTTGAGTTTAGAAGTTACGGATGATGGAATTTTGAATATAGACAAGTAGTAAAAATTGTAAAAATTGTATTTCTACTAGTTTCCTATTTTACAACTTCACAACTCTCCACCGCAAGCTAGAGCATAAATATTAATCATGCACAACTTTGTTAGGATTTTCGAAGCTCAATAGAATCAACCGAAAAATGAAAAAGGGGGTGAAATGGAGAAAAATTGTTTAGGGAGTAAGGAGAGTAAAAGATAGAAAGATTTGCACATTGATTTATAGTGGTTCGACTTCTCAACTAAGTCTACCTCCACTACCTTAGCTCCTCACTAAGGATTTTCCAATAAATTCACTAATTTGTTCTTTCTTTTTCAAGGACAAAGAGATAACCTTTACAAGACTCCCTAGCTTTTCAAAGGCTCAGCTAGAACAAAAAACCCTTTACAAGGAAAAAGACTCTAAAAAGAAAGGTGTTTACAAAGAATTAAAGCTCACAAGAACAAAATATTTACAAGAGAATAGGAATAAAGAGTGAAAAGTTATTCCCTTGTGTTTGATTGCTTGGATATGTGTTCTAACCCTTCTTCAAGTGTCTTGAACTTGTATTTATATGTTGGAATGAGTTTGTGGCCGTTTCTAGCCGTTGGGAGTGATTTAGAGCAGTTGGGGATGTTTTTTCTGCAAAATAAAACTGCTCAGTACAAAGGGTATCGGTACTCCTATAGGGAGTATCAGTACTACCTTTGTTATTTTTAAATAAAACTAGCCATTACTAGCCGTTGGGCCTGACGGTATCGATACTAAGCCTATTGTATCGATACTACTATGTAAAGTAGTATCGGTACCCCTTTGGGTATCGGTACCATTTTTGCATTCTGGAATTTGAGCAATGCTGGTAGTATCGATACTACCTAGTGAGTATCGATACTTCCCTTACCTTTGGTATCAATACCATATGAACAGTATCGATACTGTTCATGAGGTATCGATACTGTAAGAACAATATCGGTACTTCTTGTCCAGAAAAACATTTTGTGCTCAATTCCAAGTTAAATGGACTTTGAAAACTTTGAATAAATTCAATTCAAGTCCAAAAACATTTTGCCATAAATTGTTATACCAAAACATAGTTCAACAATCTTGTTAGAAATATAATCAATTCAAGCTCCATTGAGGGCTTTTGTGAAGATATCCTCTAATTGATCTCATGTTTTAACATAGCCAGTACAAACGAATTTTTGTTGAATCTTTTCATGAACAAAATGGAAATTAATCTCAATATGCGTAGTTCTTTCGTGAAACACTATATTAGAGGATATATGAATAGTAGCTTGATTGTTGCACCACAGTTTTGTTGGCAATGTGGTTTTCAAATCGACTTCACTTAACAGTTGATGTGGTCACTTAATCTCTCACACACAGATTGTTCCATAACTTTATATTCTGATTTTGTACTCATCTGGGATACTACATTTTGCTTTTTTTTCTAATGAAATCAAATTTCTGCCAATAAAGACACAATATGTAGTAGAGGATCTTATATCCACCTTTGATCTTGACCAATCTGCATCTGTGAAACACTTAATATTAGTATGTCCATAATTTAGATATAATACATTCCTGGAGTTTTCTTTTAATGAGTAACACTTTACTCCAGAACTGACCAATGTTTGACTGTTGAAGAAGACATAAATTGACTCACAACACTGATAAAGTATGAAATATTAGGACCAGTTCTTATAAGGTAATTACATTTCCTGACTAGTCTCTTATTCTTCTCAAGATCCTCAAATAATACAATATCTTCTTTCATGATGTCTGAATTGGTTTCATCAGTGTGTTATACAACTTGGATTTGTACTTTTCAATTTCAAATAACAAGTCGAGTGTTTTCTTCGGGACAACAGAATATCATTCTTACTCTTGTAACTTCAACACCCAATAACTACTTCAACCATCCCAATTTATTTTTGTCAGAATTGAGATTGGAGAAAATACTTCAAAGTTAAAATTTTTGTACTATCACTCTCAGTAAGGACAATGTCATCAATATATACCTTTAATAAGAGATACGTCAGATTGTTTGTAGAACATTGTATGATCAGAATTACTTTGCTTCAACCCAAATTCCTGGACTGCCTCATTGAATATCCAAACCAAGCATGTACAGAAACGTCTAAAGTCTACATACCTTCTCACACTCCCCCGAGCAACAAACTCAAATGGTTGCTCCATGTATACTTCTTTTTGAGTGAGTTTACTTGATTCATCGATAGTATTGGTAGGAGTAGTTTGCCCAGATGGTGAAGCAAACTCAGTATTGGAGGTTGCAACATTGGCCGATTTTGTTCTACGAGCCTCATTTTGAAGCTTCACACAATGATGTTTCATATGGTCCGACTCATGACAATAATAAAATACAATTCCATGCGACTCCTTATTACAACTATCACTACCTCCGTCGCAATTATTTGATATTTTTGTCTTGTTACCGGCTCACAAGAGCACTATTATTAGTATGAGCTGAATGAGAGTTTTCAATTTGCAACACTTCTAAAAGCATCTTGAAAAGAAGTAATTTCAGAATTTAACTAGAATTTGACATTTTCTAATCCCAATTATGAAGGAAAACTAGCAAGGAAACTCATAATCGCATATTTTCATGATAAGTCTGATGAACTTTTACATCCGCAATAAATGGCAACAAAATGTTAAGCTCTTTCAATAGAACGACCGACAAACATCATATATCCGACAAATATTTCCTTTTCATACAAAATATAGTTCCTTCCAAGAATGAAAGGAAGAATTCTAAGACTGCTATGTTTAGCTATTCTAAATGCAAACCTTTAACTATTTCAATCTCATATGGTTCGACTGCTAGCATTATGATGACTGCATCTCGGGCTTTTCATAACAGCATAGAAGACTTAATCTGGAAATAGTTGTAAATGGTGATAAAATATTCCATTTCACAAATTGTTTCTTTTACATCCTTTACTTTCTCACGGTTTCAACTGAATATGGACGTATTCTAATGCATGTTCGATTATCTATTTTCTTATGTAGATTTGGTTTATGGGAAAACACTCTCACATTTCGCTGGAATTTGATAATGTAAGCAGATTCAGGCCTACTCACATACCACTGCAAGTTTATTGCTATGTTATTCATTTTATTTGTTTTCTTCATTGCCTATATTTGCATGTTTTCAGTTATAGTGCTAGATTTCAGTTATAAATCCTCAACTTGTGTGATTCGTGACTTTCTGATAAGGGCAAAGCAGCTAGATAAAAAGTATGATTAGTTTGTTTTCTCATGATACAAATGTGTTATTCAAACTTATCTTCTGGATATTTCCATGTTTGTTCCATTGCAGAATATTTTCATTGGTGATTTATTTTGGCAAATTCATTTTCTTTCTTAAAAGGCATTTTTAATGATCAAAACAGATTGTTTCAGTAGTCTTGGAAAATTATGAAGACCCAAGGAAAAATTTAGAGAACCTTAATGCTTCCCAAAGTCAGTTGGAAGAAGACGTGTTAAAAGATGAGGGACATGTCCTCATCACATTTCCTTCTTGGGACACAATTGTGAATGACAAGGAGAACTAATTGTCTCAGTGTAATCAAATGACTCGAGTTTGTGATTCATTTTTTTATTTTACTTCTTTACCTTTCAGTGAGTTCCTTTTTTTCTCTTTCACAGGGAAGATGCTCAGAATCCCTGCTTCTGGTCCAAGGTTTGCTTACATAACATGGCAAACCTAGCCAAGGAAGCTACAACAGCACGACGTGTTCTTGAGTCTTTGTTTCGTTACTTGGATAATGAAGACTTATGGTCTTTTCAAACTGGTCTTGCCTTTCCAGTCTTAAAAGATATGCAGCTTTTACTGGAGAGCTCTGGTACCATGCATTTTCAATTGTCAATATGCCTGATTTTTTTCTGTTTTTGTTTATTTTTCCTAAAAAATTCTCAGACTTGTAACAAGTTTGAGAATCTGGTACTATTTATTTATTTTTCTCTGTTTTCAGGACAGAATACACATTTATTGCTATCCTTACTAGTTA